GGACGTTAATATCACCAACCACTTCTATGTTATTAAGGTGTATCCATAGAAATGGCCCACCCTGTAATATCAGTGACGAATTTGATCCAGGCGTCCTTCACTGCCTTCTGGTATGCCGTCTGTCTTGCCTTCAGTATGTCCAAAGTTCCTTGAAGGGCATCATTCTTCCATTTACGCCCTGCATTTCTGCATTCTCGCCTTACTGCACAATGAGGAAAGTAATGAATTAGAAAAGGTAATCCGGGATTTTGAGAGACAGAATTGGTAGAAAAAGCAGCAAGAAGAGAAGTTGGTGAGGAAGAAGATGTTGGAGAGGAGGTCAGAGCAAAGCCAGCCTCAACAGGTGATTTTTCAGCTGCTTTTCAAAGAAAACCACTGAGTCCACTGACTGGACCGGATTAGGGGTTTTAACCGGACCGGATCTGTGGTTTTGGACAGAACTGTTATTGATTATTTTTTTAAATCGTGTCAAATGTTTTGCTCTCATTTCAGCTCGACAGCCAATCGCCATATGCTGAGAGCTTTGGCTCAGGCAGGGGGCGGAGCTTATGAATACTTTGACACAAAAACTAAACACAACTGGCCTGAGAAGGTGAGAAGTAGTTAGTGATTTAATCTGACATGGGTTTTCTGAACTGGAGCAAGATGTTACTGGTTCTGACTGGACCTGAACCAGTGGCGTTACCATCCAGAATTATACCCTCTAAAGCAGGGGTAGGCAGCATGTTTTAGTTGTTTCTCTGCTCCAACACACCTGATTCACCAGTTCGGCAGCTCATTAGGCTCTGCAGGCGCCTGTTAATCACCTCCTGATTAATATCAGGTGTGTTGAAGCAGGGAAACAACTAAAACATGCTGAATATCGGCCCTCAGGGAAGAGAGCTGCTTACCCCTGTTTTGTTTTTGGGTGTAGGTCAGGGCCAAAAATCCCATTTCCCTTTTTTTGGGGGGGGGGGGTAACATTTCAGAGAGTTGCGGGGGGCAAAAAGAAAATGGCTGTCTCTTGCTGTTTTGCTGCTTGCAGGATGGACCTCCAGCATGGGCGGGTTAACAAATAAACCAGCTGATCAGAGGTAGATGTCAGCATATCAGTAAATGATAGAGTACAACTCCACATCCTGCCTTTTTCCTCTCCAACTAACTTCTAGTTCCTGAAACAGGAGCACCAGAGCTTTTCCTCACAGAGATCAACTCATATGGCTTTCATTTATACTAGAGACCAATGTGGATGTGTTGAAATAGACCAGTGAGCTTCTAAAAGGTTAAGTCCTACAACCTTTCTGGAACCTTTAACAATAAAGAGAAAACACCATCTATAAATATAACGTCATAATAAAATGTGACTATAGTAACAGGATGTGGAAGCTGTTAAGACCCAAAGAGTTTCCATCAAAATAATATTAAATGTAAAAAATCAACATTTATTTTGTGTCCCTCAGTGAGCAGCTGTGATCAGCAGCAGCAGGGATGATGCTAGCTGCTGCAACAGCATCACAACCTGGTGAAACATTAAATCTGTCATGTTTACTACCTAAAACTGATGTTTTAATTAGTCTAAGAAGTTAAGTTCAACCTGCTGCTCGTCTGAAATGTTAAATAGATTTATAGATGTCTAGAGAAAACATCCAGTCTGCCTATAAGTGTTAAAATAACCACCGATTAGCTTTTAAAAGATGTATTACTTCTCAAACTTCATTCCTAAAGCAGTCGCCAACATGTCCTTAGAATAATATTTATTAGTAACTAAATAGCTGCTGATGCCTTTAATTTCAATGTTGACTAGTAAGAATAATACTTAGACTAGGTCAATGATACTGTTGCTATGTGAAAATAGAAATTACTGATTAAATGTTAAAAGGGCCTTCCACAGATCATGGGGTTACATGTTGGTGCTTTATTTAGCTTAGCTCTGTTTCCTTTTACTTTAACTAAACTCAGCAAAGCTTTGATTTGTTGTCCGCCCACCTGGAGGGTTGTTAACCGCCTGAGGATGCAGCAGGGAGACGAGCTGCTTAACAGCACTTTTTACTGGGAAATTAACTAAGTTTAGCAGAGAAAAAGATGTTTTCAGCACCTGTTCAACAAGTGCTGGTTATTAACTTACTCTGTTTCTCTCATCCTGCTCACTCCCGCCTCCGGGAGCATCTGAGCAGAGACAGCCCGCCAGTTCGGAGCAGCTTGTGGACCATACCAATGTGAAGATTAGTGTAGGGGGAGTCATAATCTTTGAATGAATAAAAACACCTTGTTTGGCGGGTTTATTGTTTTTGGTTGTGCTCTGCTTTCATTGGACAGTACTATATCACTTTTAAATATGTTTACATGCTCGATCTTTAGGGGGGACATGCTGCGTTGTTGGTTCTTTTTTAAAACACAGAAAAGGTTTCTTTTTTTACCTTGCTGCTGACAGTTGAGTTCGCGGATGCAAACTTCCTCAGAGCTGACGCTGATGGTGGCGTCACTTCCTGCTCCGTTTATCCAATGTGTATACATTTGATCGCGCATGGGACTGCATCATCGGAGAGGGGAGAGCGGGCAGCAGAGGGCGACAACGTTCTCTGCTGCCCGCGGATAAACGGAGTAGGAAGTGACGCCACCATCAGCGTCAGCTCTGAGGAAGTTTGCAGCCGCGAACGAAACTTGTCAGCAGCAAGGTAAAAAAAGAAACCTTTTCTGTGTTTTAAAAAAGAACCACCAATGCAGTTAGAAAAGCTGCACAGCAAGAACATACCAAAAAAAGGGTTGGGACATGTCCCCCCTGGGACTTACGCCCATGGTGTAGGTGTTTCCTCTGCAGTTCCATCAGAGATGAAACATTCTCACACAGCAGATGTCAGCGGTCAGTGGTAAATGTTGGCATGCTGCTACCTGTGGGTGTTTTTGCTGCAGGTGTTACGTCAGGTGGATCGTATGTCATCTCCCGGCTGCAGCTCGGCCTCTGTGAAGTGGCAGCAGTTCAACCCGGCAGCTCCTCCTCCTGTTCAAGCCCCGAAGCAGCTGCATGCTCTCTTCAGTGACTGCTGCACTCTGGTGTACGGCTTGGTGCCACACTGCACTCAGGTAAAACACCTGGGCCCGCTTTCGACGTGCAAATCAACCAGGTTGTACGATCGTGTTTTTAACTTACGCCTACTAGCCAGAATGAAGCCCCTGCTGGCCAGAGTACATCTAGAGACTGTCACACACGCTTTTGTTGTTCCAAGGCTCGACTACTGCAATGCATCATATGCCGGCCTTAGTCAGGGTGCGGTAGCACGCTTGCAGTTGGTACAAAACTCAGCCGCTAGGTTCGTGACCGGCACTAGGCGCAGGGAACATATCACCCCTGTGTTGGCATCCCTTCATTGGCTGCCTGTACAATACAGGGCAAAGTTCAAGGTCTTGGTGCTGGCATACAGGGCCTCACTCAGAACTGCTCCAGCATATCTTGGCAACCTTTTGCATAGACACGCCCCCTCGCGGGCCCTTCGCTCAGCCGGCAGGGAGCTGTTGATCGTTCCACGCACTAAGTGCAGGTCACGGGGGGACCGTGCGTTTTCTGTGTTGGTACCTGCACTTTGGAACGAGTTGCCTTTGGTGGTGCGTCAGTCACCCCCATTTGGGGTTTTTAAGACTCGCCTTAAGACCCGTTTTTTTGTCAAGGCTTTTCAGGATTAGCAAATTTTACCTGGTTTCGATGCCCCGGCCTCTTAATCTTTTTCTGGATTTTATTTTTTGCTTTTACTCTCCTCTTTTAATTGATTTAATGCAGGTTTTACGATTGTTATATTTTATTCTGATGGTTTTATGTTTTTATTGTGTTGTGTTCAGCACCTTGGGCGTCTGCTTTGGTCGCAGAAGGGGCTTTATAAATAAATGAAATGAAATGAAATGAAATCCATCAACCATACTTAAGCACACACCTGTGCGTATTTCATTCATAGGAACAGTTTTACACTGTGTGTGGTATTTACCATCTGGTACTAGAGGTGTGAATCTCCACTTGTCTCCTGATTTGATGCTATTACGATTATTGGGTCAACGATGCATTTTGATTCGATGTCCCGATGCATCACGATTATTTCATATTGATTTGTTTTCATCGCTAAATAGAAGATGTCAGATAACTGCTTTTTATTTTTAGTTTTTTTAAATTTTTTAAATCAAAAACGTAATTGACACAACCTGCCATCCCTCAAAAGCTCTCCATTCACAACAGGTCAGGACAAAACATTTAAGAAGATTTAACAAAGTAAAACATCTGTTTCCTCGTTCAACACCACGCCTCAGGCTGAGAAAACACGCTTTGCAAAAACTCACAAAATCTAAAAAAGTACTGAAAACCTACAGGACACATAACGTAATAATAAAATCCATAATGGGTTCATATAGGAGTGTTTAATGTCTCTGAGCAGCTCTAGAGTCAGATGTTTATGCTGCAGTTGAAGGGTGTCAGAAATAACACCAAATGAAATGTTTGACTTGGTTTAGTTTATTTGAACCCAGTGGTTCATTTCTGAAATGTTGGAGAATGATTCTACACTTCCAATAATATTTAAGATGTGTGTTTTGTTCTTCCTGATAATAAAACCAGCAGAAGGCTGTGGGCTGGATTAGGATTAAATTACCCAGCTGATGGATCTCCTTCACTAACCAGCTAACTACAAACCTTTCCACTAACCTGTGTGACCCTCCTGTCCATGCTGTCTCTGGAGGAGCAGATAGAAAACAAGATCTCCTGTAACTGAACCAAAGCTTCCTCCCTGTTTCTCTTCAAGCTGAATTTAACATCAGTTTATCATCATGAAACAAAAGAATAAAGTGGAACAAGAACTTCTATTTCACTCCTCTTAACTTTTCCGTGTCCCTAAATTAAAGAGACAGACAATCACGCTGCAGCTGCCGTCCTTGACCCCGCCCCCTCCCCAAGACCGGATCTCCCGGCATCACAACACTCGGTCTGACTGAGCGCTTCGAGGAGAAACAATCATGAAATTATGAAAAGAATAATGTGTGTTTGGAGCATCGGTTTGGAGGAGCGTCCTGCGATCTCTCTCTCGCTCTCTTTCTCTCTCGCGCTCTCGCTCTCTCTCGCTCTCTCTCTCACTCTCTCTCTCTCGCTCTCTCTCTCACTCTCTCTCTCTCGCTCTCTCTCTCACTCTCTCTCTCACTCTCTCTATCTCGCTCTCTCGCTCTCTCTATCTCGCTCTCTCACTCTCTCTATCTCGCTCTCTCACTCTCTCTATCTCGCTCTCTCACTCTCTCGCGCTCTGCGGAGCGCACTGCGTGACAACCCACTCAATTAACATAATTCACGTCCGAAATCCAACAGAACCGGTCGGGCTGATTCGGTTCTGGTTCGGTCTCAGGTTACAACTCAAGCGCTCAGTCCTGCAGTACAACATTAAGGCAGAGGTAAATGTGGAGGACGCTCACTCTGACAGATTTGGATGCTGTGCTGGTGCCGCTGTTAAAAAAACAAAACTACATTCCGTTATAATCGATTATGGCGTACTCTTCTACAATGCAGAATCGTTTATGTCCGCGTCCCGATGCATCGATTATTTGATTATTTTCCTCAGCTCTATCTGGTACTTCCATCCATCCAGTCTCTTCTGCTTATCCGGGGTCGCCCAGACTTCCCTCTCCCCAGCCGCTTGTAATCATCATATATTTCATGTATCATACATTCTGCTGGGATTTCCTCTCGTTACGTAACAGACAAGGTTATCAGCAAAAATAAGTTGATTTAGGTGTTACTCGCTCTTTAAAAAGGCATCATTATGTTTGGGTGGACAATAGCAGAGAGCAGCACATTAAACACACCTGTTCTGTCAGGAATCCAACATTTCTGCCTCCTGATGAGGTCAGAAGCTCTGCTGATCCAATCTGATCTGACTCACCCTGAGCTCTTACCTAAAGGCTAGAGTTCTCTGGAGCATACTGCTGTGTGTTGACATGAAAAGGAAATACATCAGTGAGCAACTTGGAGAAGCAAAGTTTTCTTGTCAATCTGGGAACGATCTAAGTACATAACAATGTGTGAGATGGATAAGGTGGATTTGGTTCTTACCTCCCTAGTTCTGCTTTAGGTGTGATGTAGCATGCTGTTCACGGAGTACCAGATGAGGTGGTGACATCATATCCTGTCCTGCTTACTTTAAGAACGCTGTAATCCACTCACTTCTTAGAGTCTTGACCCCTCTCTCCATAGCAGCTTCAGACCCATCTCTAAACTTCCGTTCATCTCCAAGATCTTGGAAAAGGTGGCTAAACAACTCACAGCTGCTCTTGATGAACAGAACATCTATGATAGCTTCCAGTCAGGTTTTCGTAGAGCTCATTCTACTGAAACTGTTCTTCTTAGGGTCTCTAATGACCTTCTGACCCACAGTGATGCAGGGGACTGTTCTGTTCTGGTCCTGCTGGACCTGACTGCAGCCTTTGACACTGTTGACCATCACCTGCTACTGGAGAGGCTGAGAGACTGGGTAGGCCTATCAGGAGATGCTCTGAAGTGGTTCTCCTCTTATCTCTCTGAGCGCTCCTTTTCTGTGGCTGTCTCCAAGTTTAGGTCCTCCACCACCTCCCTTACCCATGGTGTCCCACAAGGTTCTGTGCTGGGGCCTCTACTCTTCCTCTTCTATCTGCTTCCTTTTCAGCACATCCTGAGCTCCTTTAAAGGAATCTCCTACCATCTTTATGTAGATGACATCCAACTGTACATCTCCTTTAAGCCCCATGAGATAGATGTCTAAGCAGCTGCTGCTACACACCTGCTTAGACTGCATTAAAACCTAGATGGCTGGGAACTTTCTGAACAGGTGAGTTTAAAGGAGACCACTGAGTCCATTGATCTTAGGCTCAGAGGGAGAGAGGTCCAAAGTCTGGGGGCCACAGCAGCAGATGTTCTGTCACCTTTGGTCTTTAGCCTGGTGCTGCACAACCAGTAGGCTTTGATCATTAAAACAACAATTTGACCTCTGAGGCAGCAGATCTGCTGAAGCTGTGAGCTTCTGTCTTCTGTCACGTCTTATACAGGCGACTCTTTTTGGGAACCTTCATGGTCAGGAGCTGAAAACTGTGGTGTCCACCACGGAGCTGCAGATGACCAGAGGAACGGTAAGGGCCTGCTCATCTCACTGTAGATAAATAAAACCATAGAAACCAGCTGAATGACTGCTGGTTTGTCCAGTTCCTTCACAAGCTGACAGCACGGGCGTTGATTCGGGACTACGAAGACGGGAGTCTTGATACGAACGAAGCTCAACACGAGGTACGTTTACGTCTGAGTGTCCTTGCTATCCATATCCTGTCTCAGCTTGACCCGCTTACTCATGTTTCCAGGAGAAGAAAGCAGAGCTGAAGTCCTTCATCATTGAGCTGAGTAGAGAATGGTCCATCCTGTCTCAGTTCACCAGCTTTGTGGCCGTCGAGGAGAGGGTTTGTCTTTTTTTTTTCTCATTCCTTGACTTTGAATCTGTTCAAATTTTCCACCAAACCAGTTTCATCCGCCCTGTTTCAGGACTCCGAGCAAGCTGAAGACGGCATCACAGATGTCAACAAGCTGATTGCAGAGGAAGATGTGGACTTCCTGCCATACATTGGCTGGGCCATCAGTCAGCAGGACGATGTGAGAATCTCTCATTCAGTTTCCACTCACAGAAACATTAAAGTGACACTAAGCAGCTTTTTACACTTTAACCAGGTCCTTTAAAAGTGGGCTTCCGTGATTGTGTTAGTAGAAACTTCACATGCACCACTCTGCTGTTCTGTGGAGCAGGAAGATGCTCTAGGGGGCGCTCTTTACCTGCTTAACAGCTGTTGGCTTTTTTCTGGGTCAGTAGCTAGTAGTAACAGGCTAGCACTTAGATTTTTTAGTTTGCCGACTGTCAGTAAAAAAAGAAAAGAAAAAAAGTTTGGTTTTCTGTTGGCGTCATGGCGGAGCCTGGAAGGAAAAGTAAGAGGAATGTCTTTGGAGGTTAAGCAAAGAGCTAAAATGAGAGCGAACATCGGAGCGGCCTACGCTAGTTTGAGGGAGCAAAAAGAGGCTACAAAATCACAAACTGATGGTGACCTGGCTTTGCTGCTACTATACTTGTAAGTAATAATAATTTTGTCCAACAGTATGGATCTTTTTACTTGGTGGTTTATTTTGGTGTTGGCTCATTGTTAGCACTAGCTACAGCAGGCTGCTGCAGGGTTGTTTACAACTGTTGTAATTCCACTTTTAGCCAGTGGGCAGAGGAGCAGGAAGCTGTTTAGTGTCTCCTTAATGTTTATGTTTAGCTCTTAGTTATGAATCATACTGGTGAAACTGGAAACATTTGAATCTGGTGTAAAAGTTTATTTCTGTCTGTAATGCAGCCTAAAAGGTGAAACTAATCTCTGAGACGGACTCATTCCTGCAGATCCAGATGTTTCAGCCTTTAGCTGTTCTAACCGGATTGTGGCGTACAGCTGAGGAAAACTCCACATTCAGAATCTCAGACAATCAGAATATTGTGAAAAGGTTCAATATTCTAGACTCAAAGTGTCGCACTCTGATGAGCTGATGAATCCAGAACACCTGCAGAGGCTTCCTGAGCCTTTAGACCAGTGATTCCTTACCTTTTTTGTCTCGTGGACCGCCTGAGCCGTTTTCTCATACCACAAATACCCCTCAGCCAAACGATTCCCCAAAAGTAGGATGTACAACTGATTATTAAATGATATAATTTTATTAAATCTCCTTGACGCTGAACCATGTCTCACTTCCTGTCTGGCTCAGGTGAATTATTTAACTTTAACAATCCTCATGCAGGGGGCTGCGCAGTGGTGCAGTGGTTAGAGCTGTTGCCTTGCAGCAGGAAGGTACTGGGTTCGCTTCCCAGCCTGGGATCTTTCTGCATGGAGTTAGCATGTTCTCCCTGTGCATGCATGGGTTCTCTCCAGGTTCTCCGGCTTCCTCCCACAGTCCAAAAACATGACTGTTAGGTTGATTGATCTGTCCAAATTGTCCCTAGGTGTGAGTGTGTGTGCATGATTGTTAGTCCTGTGTGTGTCTGTGTTGCCCTGCGATGGACTGGCTCTCTGTCCAGGGTGTACCCCGCCTGATTGCCCATCGACCGCTGGAGATAGGCATCAGAACCCCCCCCCCCGAACCTACGTGGACAAGCGGGTTCAGAAAATGTATGGATGGAATCCGATTGAACCTGCAACCTTCCCATTACTGGACAACCGGCTCTACTTCCTGAGCTGCTGCTCAGCATGTAAATCAGTTGGGCTGAAGCAGAGACATGGAAATAAATCAATCAATCGATTGATCAATCATTTTATTTATAAAGCCCCTTCCCACCCCCAATCAAAGGGGCCCAAGGTGCTGAACATGCTCTATAATAAAACTACAGAGATAAAAAACATTTAAGAACAAAAAAAGGACCAGAAACAATAAAATTAGTGATCAAAAACATTAAAATGTGAATAGAAACAATTAAGAAACAGATCTAGAATACAGCTTAAGCCCTGCTTTAAAAGCGGGCAGCGATGTGGACGGCTTGATTTCTTGTAGGAGGTGGTTCCAAAGCTGAGGAACCAAAACTGCAAAGGCACGATCACCCCTAGACTTGCTGTTTGACCGCGGTACCACCAAAAGGTCGCTCCGACCCGAACGCAGCGATCTAGTGGAAAGGTTGCAGGATGCTGGTTTATTATTCATTTGGTTAGGAATGGGTCATGTGACCTAAAACCCATATCACAATAAATTCTTTTACCAGATGAATTTCATCAGAACAAATACTTCAGACTCTTCAGGCCTGTGGATGGAGCTCATGGAGGAGGAAGGTGACCAAGTGTCACACATTCATCTGAGAAGCTTTCTGAGTGACGGAGCTTGTTTGTGTTGTTTCCAGCATGCCATCCTCTTTAAGAAATGCTGAAATTAAAATTAATTAACTACGATTTTGGTTTCATTCACAATTAAAATGCCATTAATGAAACCCAATATACACTGATTGGACACTTTATTGGGTACACCTTGCTAGTACCCTTTTGCCTTCAGAACTGCCTTAATCCTTCGTGGCGTAGCTTCAGCAAGGCAGCTTTATTTCTGGAGCACATTTCAAACACAGAGGCATTTCACTGTGCTTTACAGTTATCAGGACATGATATGAAAACACATAAAAACACAAATTAAAATACACACAGGTAGAAATACAGTTTAGAGCTAAAGGAGAAGACCGTTACATCACAGATTACAGAGGAGACGATGCAGCATAAGAAACCATTCATGTAAAGGCTGATGAGTACATGAGGGTTTTAGTTGTTTTAAACAACACTAGGGTTGGGGCACGTCTGAGGTCATGGGGAAGCTGATTCCATATGTGAGCAGCACAGTAACTAAAAGCATCTCCACCATGTTTGGTTCTGACCCGAGGTTCTACCAGCTGATTGTTTCCTAAGGATCTCAGAGCCCTGTTGGGTGTGTATACAGGAATGAGATCAGACATGTATTCTGGTCCCATGCCACTGAGTGATTTATAAACTGGTAGAAGCACTTTGGGTCCTGGGGATTGGGTCCCAATTTGAAGGCGGAAACACATGGCTCATGGGGCCCCAGGTGGACAAATAACCTCAGACTGTGCAGCATTACCAGGAAGTAGTCTGAGTCCTTTCTGGTTTCATGTCTCTGTTACAGGACATCCTGGTGTCCAACTACTATCTGTCACTGGATTTAAAACCTACAGATTCCAGTTTTGACTGGGAGTCTCCCACTCCTACAGGAGAAGGTTATGAAGCCGACTTCTTTGAACCTGATCGTCTGTGTCTCATGGAACCAGAGCTTCACTGCCTTCCCTCAGCTGTTGGTGCTGAAGCAGCATCTGCAGCTCTTGGTCTCCGCTTCAAACGTTCTGGTCCAGACTCTCCAAGCCCACCTGCTCCTGGCATCCATCTGAACTCTGCTGTAAGAACTTGGACTCAAAACAATAGAGCACATTTGTGTTTATCATTTAGATCAAAGACATTATCTTCAGCTGGAAATATTTTCCTAATTCCTTCTTTTGATCTTTACAGGATTTTTCTGGAAGTTCGGAGTTCCTCTTTAAACGTCTCACTCCTTCATACAGCTCGTCTGCACCATCTTTCAGTTTTGGATCCACTGCTGCTGCTCCTCCTCCTTTTGCTGCTCAATCATCCCAGCCTGCTCCTCTTCCTCCTGTGTTACGATCCACTGCGGGTCCTCCTCCCCCTTTTGCTGCTCAATCATCCCAGCCTGCTCCTCCTCCTCCTTTTGCTGCTCAATCTTCCCAGCCTGCTCCTCCTCCTCATCCTCCTCCTCCTTTTGCTGCTCAATCATCCCAGCCTGCTCCTCTTCTTCCTGTGTTACTATCCACTGCGGGCCCTCCTCCCCCTTTTGCTGCTCAATCATCCCAGCCTGCTCCTCCTCCTTCTTTTGCTGCTCAATCATCCCAGCCTGCTCCTCCTCCTCCTTTTGCTGCTCAGTCATCCCAGCCTGCTCCTCCTCCTCCTTTTGCTGCTCAATCATCCCAGCCTGCTCCTCCTCCTCCTTTTGCTGCTCAATCATCCCAGCCTGCTCCTCCTCCTCCTTTTGCTGCTCAATCATCCCAGCCTGCTCCTCCTCCTGTGTTACGATCCACTGCCGGTCCTCCTCCTCCTCCTTTTGCTGCTCAATCATCCCAGCCTGCTCCTCCTCTTCCTCCTGTGTTACGATCCCCTGATGCTCCTTCTCCTCCTGCTGCTCCATTATCTGCTATGTTTGAATCCCTTGATGCTCCTCCTTCTATTTCGCTCCGTGCTCTGGCTCTTCCTGATTCGCCACAGCCAGAGTTTGACCCCCCCAGGGGTCATTCTGGTTTCTCCGGCTCACCTTCTACCATCTCCCTGAACTCAGGGATTCGTTCAAAACTCACACGGACAAGGAGAAGGGACGTTGCTTTGTACCTAGACGAAGACGAGGAACCGTTACATTCCATGGAGATGGAACAAAACATGTGTGCTCGGCGTAAAAGAGACCATAGATGTTCATATTTGCGTCGACCACATGTCTCTAGACGCCTGCCTTTAAAGTGAGTCAGAAACCCATTTGAAAGTAGACGTGTTCAGATCTTCATGTTTGTGCAGATGTTTCTCAGACTGTGTTCGGAGGAGAATCCTCACTGAGGTTCTGTTGTCATTTAGATCTGCAGAGGCACTGCCAGAAGAACCACAGCATAAGTGGACTAAGATCTTTCAGCTGCAGAGTTTGGTGAGAAATGTCCACCTTCTGTAGGACCGTTATCAGTGTCTGGTGGTTCAGCAGGAACATCTGCTGAGAGAGGACAGGATCTTGTGGTGGCAAAACATTTTCCAGGTCTGGGACACGTTTAGTCATTTAGCACAATCATGAGCTGAATCTGGTACCGAAAGACCAGATCCTCCAGGAGCTCTGAGATGTTCCAGATGTGGACAACATGGATTTATTTAGAGTTGAAGACGGAGTGTAGAAGAATAAACAAAAAGAAAGTTGTTTTTATTTATAAACGATATGGGTTACTGAGTGAATCACAATCACACACACATAAATCCTGGAATAATATTCCTCCAACCTCTGGTTTTCCTGCTTTCCCACCAGGATCAGTCTCCAGTTTTCTACCACAAACATAGAATGTTTCTTCTGTAATCTTCTGATCTCGGGAGGAACCTGTAGGTCTCATATTTACAGACAGCAGTTGTAATCAGACTCACCTGCTAGTTTCACTACCATGATTGATAATCAGCTCAGATCAGCTCATCTTCTCCATGTGTGGGTCAAAAGTTCTCCTGATGGAGTGGCTCCACCTCAGAACCAGACACTTGGTCTCAGATGCATGAAGGTCGGTTAAGACCCCTAACTAAACCAACCAGTTAGTCTGGTGACCCACCCTGACCTCTCCTCAGCGGGAGAATCTAGTCGGGTTTTGTTACCATTCAGATCAAACAGATGTCAAATCTGATCAGGTGTTTGCTGGTCTGTGTTCCAGGATGGATACTGGGACCTGAGCCCAGGACTGGGAGCTTTAATAAACCTCAATGTGGACGTCTTTGCTAACGTGTTCCTGAAGAACAAAGGCATCTGTTCTCTGGGTGAGTTTTACCTCAGCATCAGCATCCCTGGTTGGTGTGGAAGCACCTCCTGCACCACAGCCCCAGGTGACCCTCTGTCTGTCTTAGCAACCGCCGTCTCCATGGTCGGGTCTCGCTTCATCCAACTTTTATGTTACCGTATAAACACACACACACACGTCCCTTCAGAACCAGGATTGAGCATCTAAACCTGATGTGGGTGCTTTCTAATGATCGTAAGCTCCAGATGTTGCTGAATGTGTTAGCCCAGGTGTGGCGAGTGGGGGTGTAGAGTGACCCAGATGTTGCTGATACTGAATGTGTTTACCAGAGTTGGGTAGATGCTGCTGGTGTGGGACCTGATGTTGGGTCTTTTACAGACACCGACCCAAATGGCATAAGAACAAGCCTGGTCTAAGCTAAAGGATGTCGGTGAACACGAAGACTGGCCCAACACTCCTTTTATACAGCCATCGTGTCATCCTTTGTGAAAAACACATAATGGCACCACAGGCTGACCATCTATAACTGATTAAAGAGTCCCTGATGTAGCACCATGGTTGGTTGAGACAGGCGTATGGCAGCAGTGCAACAAGAACATTTACTGACTGTTAAAATCAGACAAACTGCTGAAAGTTTTCAGGATATTTTGGGTTTTTTCTTTCTTAATGTTCCATTCTTAACTTGTGAAAGTTTCTAAATCTCCTATTTAACGATGTGAAATGCTTCCAGTGCCTTTGTAACATTTCATCTCTGCTGCTTCACCATGCAACAGGCATGAAGGCCCACGCTGACATCCTGAGGATGGTGGCCACTCTCCTGGTTCTGCAGCTGCTGAGGTTGGAGGAGCTGGACGAAGGAAAACTGCTGCAGAGTCTGTTTCGATTGAAGGAGTCGCCACAGTTCAGGTCTGAGCCCTGACACGCACCCTAGTCCTAAAACACACACTCAAGAGCTGAGGCTAGTGCTGAAATAAAAACATGACCACAGCAGAGCCCAGAGCACACCGGAGGTTTGACGAGCAGTTCAATTCACTTTAATTTACACGTACAGAACCACATCAGGACCAGTCGTCTCAAGGGTTAGGGTTAGTGAACAACCCAACACAGGTCAGGTCATTAAGCCAATCAGTAACAAGTTTCCTATATAAGGAACCCAGCAGGTTGCATTGAGTCACTGACTAGTGTTAGTCTTTACAGCAATCCTCATACTAAGCAAGTATTTAGCGACAGTGGAGAGGAAATAAAGAAATTCCAGCATTTTTAAAGATTTCAGAAGTCACTGAGCAGAAAAATGTTTAGGCAGGAAAACAGCAAATGAGCAAACGGAGAAGCTTCTGCAGCAAGGCGAGACAAGAACACGTGTACCCACATCTTGTCCGACTGCTGCAGGCGCAGAGGTTTGTGTAGGTGAGGTGTTGCTCCTCTAAATCAGTTGCTGTGATGGTTCTGAGGTGCTAAATGTGTCACCCCTGCAGGCCCGAGCGCTGGGAGCAGATGAAGAAGGCTGTGGACTGGGTCTGTTGGGCTGACCAGCAGTATCCGTGTATCTGCAGCCGGCTGGAGCTGGGTCTGAGCTGGGAGTCCTCCACCCGTCAGCTACTGGGCTTCGACAGCATCCCACCGTTCTCTCCTCTGATTGGTCTGGACCTGCAGATGACCACCTCTGCTGTACCGGTCTACTGAGGAGCCAGCAGGAGAAAATCCAGCTGAGAGGATGGAGTCGACCATGTTTACAATCCGCTATAATTAACCAAATTCATTTGTGCTCAAGAGTCACCTTTCAGACGCCCACAGCTGTAATCCATGTCAACAGCTGAGCATCTGGAATGAATCAATAAATAATTCTTATGTTCTAACAAACAGGATAGAATAGAGAAGTGACCAGCGTGACCAGGGTGTAACGTGATTTTTGCTAATAATTGGTTTCAGCAGAACTAATGGAAGTTACGGTGTAACTATGGTTCTGTGAGTTCCTGGATGACTTCCAGTGGCAGTAAACAGAGTGGATGTATCTCCTCGCGCTCTGTGCAGGTCGAGTACTAATGCAAACGAAGTCACGCACGTGACATGTAGCGCACCTGGTCGCGAGTCTATAAAATACGCGCCGATAGCTACGTTCGGGTCTCCCGGGATCTTCTCGCCCAAGAAGTTCCGAGTGACCCCTGTGACTGGCAGTCATCCAGGAACTCACAGAACCATAGTTACACCGTCACTTCCGTTCTGTTTCGTTCCCTCCTGACTGCCAGTGGCAGTAAACAGAGTGGATGACTAATGCCAGCAGTGTCACGAAGAACGTAAAACTTACCCCAACTCAGGAGGTAGCTGCCAGAGGCAGCACCGCCGAAGCGAGCATGGACCCGTGGCCAACATTGAGGCGGTAGAAGCGTGCAAACGTGCACGGAGTTGCCCAGGACGCCACCGCACAGACGTCCGCCAGTAGCACGCCTCTCATCGCCGCCCAGGATGTCGTAACACTCCTGGTGGAATGGCACACGATCCCAGGGGGAGCCACTGCACCCACTGCCGCATAAGCCATAGCAATGGCATCCACGACCCAATGCGACAGCCTCTGCTTCGAAAGGGCTCGACCCCTGTTCACTCCTCCGTGACAGACAAACAACTGGTTCGACTGCCGGACAGTGTTTGTGGCCACAATATAGAGCTGCAGTGCCCGGACCAGGCACAGCAAATTCGCCCGCCGTTGTTCCTCCGAATGAAATGGGGGAGGGAAATACGCCCCCAGCTCGATTGCGGCATTTACGTAGCCAGAGGGCAGAACTTTAAGAAGAAAGGCAACGTTGGGCCACAGCGTCACCCCCGACCCATTTGCCTTCCACCGCAGGCAGGCGGGGCTGATGTCCAGTGCGTGCAGCTCACTGACCCGTTTAGCCGTTGTCACTGCCAAGAGAAAGGCGGTTTTCACCTACACCACTTCCAACGGGGCGGTAGTCATCGGCTCAAAGGGTGGCTCACACAGGGCCTGCAGGACCAGGGGAAGGTCTCAAGCAGGTGCCGGCCTGCACAAGGGAGGACGCAACCTTCTCACGCCCTGCAGAAACTGGGTCACCAAATAGTGAACCCCAACGCTCCTGCCATCCACTAAGAGGTGTTTGGCCGAAATCGCCGCCAGGTGTACCTTAAGGGTCGAGGCAGCCCGGCCCTTGTCAAACAGGTGCTGGAGGTACTGCAGAACCTCATGCAGGGAACAAGAACCAGGGTCCACATCCCTGCCGGAACACCAGGTAGAGAACCGCTGCCAACAGCGAGCGTACGTGGCCCTTGTAGACGGAGCCCTGGCACTATCCAGCACCTGCTGGATGGAGGGCTGTAAGCCAACTGGGGGCTGCCTGGCCCCCTCAATGGCCACACCGTGAGCTGAAGATGATCTGGGGACGGATGCCAAATCCTCCCCTCCATCTGAGACAGGAGGTCCCGCCACGCCGGCAACCGCCACGGCTCCCCGTTCAACAGACTGAGAAGCAATGGAAACCAGACCCTCATGGGCCAGTCTGGCGCCACCAGAAGGACCTCGTGTGACGAGTCCCTCGCCCGATGGAGGGTCGGTAAGATCAACGGGAAAGGCGGGAAAGCATACAGCCGAACCAACAGCCAGGCATTGGCGAGGGCGTCCATCCCCAGCGGGGCGTCGGCCTCTGCCAGGGAGAACCACAAGGGGCAATGCGTGCTGCTCCTCGAGGCAAACAGATCCACCTGGGCCTCTCCGAACTGATGCCATACCCTCTGCACCACCTGAGGGTGCAACCTCCATTCCCCCGGGGGAAGACCCCGCCGAGACAGGCAATCTGCCACAGAGTACCTCCAACCCGGAAGGTGCAGCGCCCTGATGGAGGCCAAGCGAAGGTAAGCCCAGGTCAACAGCATCTGAGCCTCCCTCAACGATCGCAATGACCTGGTGCCCCCCGATGGTTTATGTGGAACACCGCTGAGGTGCTGTCCGTCCGGACGAGCACGTGATTGCCCCGCAGAAAGGGCAGGAAGCGCCTCAGCGCCAAGTAGTCGGTCTTCAATTCCAGGACATTGATGTGAAGCCATGCAACTCCACAACCCCCGGACCGACCTGCACTGCTAATGCGCCCCCCACCCCCGGGCTGACGCATCCGTCGTGATGAAAATCTGCCGGCCGCCAGCCCATGGCCCTCAGGCCGTGTCCCAATGCCTGTTCGGGGCCCTGGGGGGGGGGGCGGCAGCCCCTGTCCTGCCCCGAGGATCCCAGTGCGGTGCCTGACCTGCCCCCGAGCGTCTCAAAGTCCCTGCCGCGGCCGCGTTCTGCTGGGTGACCTGCAAGGGGGCAGCCGGACGAAACTGGCGCCGAGGGTCCCATGCCCCTCGCGGCCTGGACTGTGGCACCGGGAGGACCCCTGCCCCGCTACGCCCACTCCAGGCCTCTGCGGCCTGTATGGAATGCCGCCGACGTTCCAACGCCCTCTCAGCCTCTGGCCCGAACAACTGGCCCGGCACCACGGGCAGTCCACGCAGGCTCTGTCGGCAGTCATCCGACACCAGGGCCTGCGCCAACCAGACCTGACGGCGAGTCACTACCAGTGTGCCCAACAGCCGACCAAGCTCCCTGGACATCAGCCCAAACGCTTGCAGGGCTGTGTCATTTGTATCGCCCAGTGCCGTCCCCGCTGCACCTGACTGCAGCATCTTGGACTGGGCTAGCAACAGCACAGACAGCGAATTGCTGGTGCGTGCCATCCTTGCCCCGATGTTGTAAGCCTGGCACAGTAAGCTGTCGGTCACCCGACACTGGGTGCTCGGACAGCGGATCCTGTCCCTCAATGCCTCATCCGGGGAGAGCACCAAAGAAGCAACGCAGTGGTCCACCGGGGCATGTGGTCCAACCCGTAGGTTCCTGCCTCCCGCATCGATGCCATGGTCCTGGTATCCTTACCGTGGTGGGAGAGCTGCCTCGGGTCCCCCTAGCACCGCTGCAGCTCTTCCACAAAGGCCAGCGATGGTGGGACCTGAAACGGGGGCGCCGCCGGAGCCCGGCGGAAGAAGGGATTCCCCGCCGGACAGGCCACTGTCACATCGTCCAGTTCAATCCTGGCCAGTGCCGCTCGCAAAATCGCCCGCAACTGACAGGGATCATCCGCCAGCTCCGAGCTTGCTGAGCTATGGAGAGACATCCCCGAGTCCCTGTGACCTCCCAGGCCCAGGGGCTCCACTACCAGCCCCTGACTACGACCCAGAGAGGGGCCCTCCTCCCCGAGGGACTGAAACTCGGAATTTGAGGCCCTCATAGAGATCAGGTTGTACGTCATGAGGGGAGCCCCACATGACGTACACGCCAACATCCCTACCGATGTGGGAGATGCCAGCGACTACACAGGAACTGAGCGAGGACTTCAAGGAAAACTGAAGAACGCGATTCAGTCCTGGAGTTGTTAAACAGCACACGATGCGTGTGTCGGCTGGGTAATCTGAGTGTGACACCTCCACGGTCAGAATGTCCAGCCCCACTTACCTGTAGCGCTCGCCGGCCGCACCCCCCTCCCCTTTCACACAGGGGAAAATAGCGACCGCCAGCGAGCCCTATCCGAGCCGGCAGCGGCGGTCCGAACGGTGCCGGCCGCCCGCTCTCGGTAACAATCGAAGATAACCGCGTCAATCCACCGCCCCAGAGGGCTGCTCTGAGCGCTCCGACCACCCGGTCTCGGGCAGGATGGCGCCAAGTAATAAGTGTACTCACCTCTAGACCGACAAGATCCGAATCACGGACTTACGGAGCGATTGACCCGCAAAGCACGCCAAGTCAACAGCGAGAAGATCAAAGAGACCCGAACGTAGCTATCGGCGCGTAATTTATAGACTAGCGACCAGGTGTGCTACATGTTAAGTGCGTGACTTTGTTTACATTAGTACTCGACCTGCGCAGAGCGCGAGGAGATACATCCACTCTGTTTACTGCCACTGGCAGTCAGGAGGGAACGAAACAGAACAAAGGTTCCCGTTAGCACCTCAGGGGAGGAGGTGCTGAGTGTGATGGATTTTTGGGAATCAGCAGAGGAATAGTGAATATCAGCTTGTGTGTGATGTCACAAGAGGATAGGGGACTATCCCCATCACATGATGGAAATTGTGCTTAATTGCTTGTAAGTGAAAATCAATAAATGGTCGCTTCAGAAGTCAGAACATTGAGTCGGGGCTGGGTGTGTGTTCTCCCTGCAGGTCCCAACTTCTCTCACACAGGCCAAGTTTCACCAGGAAGCAGAAACACCGACTGGCAAGAGGTCTCAGGGGCCGGTTGTCATGGTTACCCATGACATAACGTCAGGAGCGGACTGGGACCAAAATTCAGCCCTGACGTTTTCACGAATTGTCGGCCCTCCCCAATGGGAGAGCGGTGGGGGTTGGGGGTGTTGCCGCCCGCGGACTCGTGTCTGGGCCGAATGTGAGATCTAATATGGACTGGGACTGTTAAATTACAAGCAGGGCCAGACCGCCGCGACCGGGAGCCCTGGCCTTCCAGATCAGCTCATTCTCCACAGGCGGAGATCAGCGGGACTTAGCTACATGCTAATGCGGTAAAACAGCTCCTACATTATCGCTCTACCGCGTTTTTCTTGTTACAAACGCCTGAAAAAACTGTTAGCTTCGGGTTAGCATGTAGCTAATGTTCTGCAGATCGCCAACTGTGGAGTAGTATCGGCCCAAGCTGGGCAAGTAGCCCACTTGTCTAAGCGGCCCACCGAGACAGTGCCAGAATGTCAGATAGGCCAGTCCACCCCTGCCCTGCGTGCTGTCAATAAGCAGGTTTGCACAGTATTAAGTGTTTTGCATTGACCATAAATAACAGCAAGTGGCTGTGTAGGATGTGATCCAGAAACACCTGAGCTCATTTCTAGGACAGGTGTGGTTTGTAAAGCATATGCAGGTTTAATCCACCTTTTTCCTGTCCCCCACGCGTGAAAAATGCAACCGACATCTGGTCCGTGTTCCTTTAAATTGAGACAAATCAATCTCTTCATGGCATTTTGGAGACGGACAATGTGCGAACACCAGCTGAAACAAAACACTTGCAGTCCTTATGCCTGCCAGATAAATTCAATAAATAAGACATGAAATAAATATCTACATAAAGAAATACTAGAAAATCATGTAATCTGACAAATGATATAAGTAAAATCTAAGCTCAATATGAAAATTTTTCATTCTTTTAAAATGTCTTTTAATGTTTTTTCAATAATCCAAGTTAATATTGAGCTACTTTTATTTAATTCATTCAGTTTTTATTACATAACATCTTTTTAACAGACAGCTTTTATTTCATAATAGTGTTTTTCCCATGGCTGATTTATTTCACATACTTTACAGCAGAATGTTTCAGTCCATCAGTCAAGCCAGTGGGTGTGGCCTGCAACACCACTGGTTAATCCTTCAACGTTTGGTTTTCCTGGATTTCTCTTTAACAGAACAAGGCTAGGGGGCAGATCAAGATGGCGCTCTGAAAGGACGTTCTTGTGGAAGCTCCGCTAACCAACACGTACTGTAGGTATAAAGGGATTTTTTTTTCTTCAGAATATAGGTTTATTATATGCGAGATTACAGTAAGTCAGAAATACGCTGTAGTATCGAGATGAAAAGCTCAGAAAAAAGAAAAACCGAGCTTGGACAAACACCCGCGGCTAACTTGGCTAACAAGCCTGCCAGCTCAACACGTGTGTCGCTAACTGGAACTAAAATCGCCCCAGCGGTTAATATGCACAACTACATGGGTGCAAAGGCTGATGAAGAAATGTTTGAAGAGCTTCCTCCACTGCCTGTAACACCTTCCAAGCCTCCAGCGGAGAAACAAAGACGGGTAGACGCAGGGTCCGAAATTAACACTCGCCAAATGCGAGCAAATTGCTCCATTTGGCAAGTAAATTTTTGAGCTCTATCTGCCACATAGCGAGTAAATGTTTGCACCAAATTAGTTATGTTCATCAGTCATCTTCCATGGATTTCTGATACTCCTCCCGCCTGCTTGCATCGTACACAAATGTACGTGAAACGTGAGCGCCGCATCCAACGTCATTTCCACCTATCCCATTCAATCAGTTTATCAAGTTAGCAGTTAGCTTCGTGTTAAAACTAGCGGTGAAATGTGGCGGTTTTTAACTGGAGTCAGCCAGTCTTCCAAAAGAAAACTCGTCGAACTGGAAGAAAAACCACCAGGACCAGTGGCAACCAGAAGATTTTGTGAAAAGTGGCAAACTGGAGATGGCGGAGGCGTGAGACAATGGCTACATTATGATGGCCACGTAGCGTTGCTGCCTTTCACAGACAACTGTCCCTCGGCATTCTTCAAATATCCAAAAAATGCCAATACTTCCGACTTTGTCTTCTTTGAGGGATAATAAATGTCCCGAGTGCTGCCGTCTCCTCCTGCCATTATTTCAGCTTTAGCTTAAAGAAAGTTTTGGTCGTAAACAACAAAGTGCGCATGTGCCGCCGGCAACTTCAGCAGATGATACGGTGGCTGGTAAGGGTCATCGCTCCTACACCGCAGCCACGGTAATCCACCGAGATAATATATATATATTTAAAACAAGACTGTTATTATTGTCAACCTTTTTTTACCGGGGTTTACTGCTACACCGGTTACCGTGACAACCCTAGCCCTGACACACTTTCAGATATTCTCATGGTGCAGCTGTGTTCTCCAGCGATCAAGGACTATGACCCAAATGAGGCTGTAATGCTTTGGCACAAAGACGGTGTCAGAAGCAGGAGGCCAGACTTCATGGACAGAGAAAACAAGGAGTCTGACTAGATTTCAATGAAAGAGTTCATAAAAACATCTCTATAAATAAATAGATAAATAGTAAAAAATGACAAAGAGTTGTTTATCTTATTAATTGATGTTTTAATTATTTTGTCACTCTGTTTGGAATCAACATAATATAGAATAACATGCTTTAGGTAGATCTAAATCATTTAGAATTTTGGCCGGTAGAAGATATGCTTGGCCGGTAGATTTTCATCATCTACCAGCCAACTTGGTCGGTGAGTAAAAAATTTAATTTCGGACCCTGGGTAGACGATAAGGAGGCAGAGTGCTCCAGTTCATGGGTTCGGTCCAAGTCGTCATCGATACGCCTGGAGAACAGAGAAAGCTTCAACAGGAAGCTCAGGTGTGGTTCCGATCTTTTCAAGTGGTTCTGTGGAATGGTAAAAATGGTAAATGGCCTGTATTTGATATAGCGCCTTCTAGAGTCCTGCGACCCCCCAAGGTGCTTTCCAACACAATCGGTCATTCACCCATTCACACACTGGTGGGGATGAGCTACAATGTAGCCACAGCTGCCCTGGGGCACACTGACAAGAGGCAAGTCTGCCGAACACGAGCCCCTCCGGTCCCTCTGAGCGCCACCAGCAGGCAAGGTGGGTTAAGTGTCTTGCCCAAGGACAGAGACAAACTGAGCGGGGCTCGAACCTGCATCCTTCCGATTACGAGGCGAGTAACTCCTGAGCCACTGTCACCCCACGTGACTGCGGGTGATGGTTCTTTGAACTAACTCAGATTAGTTTTGACTGGATTGTTAGGCTAACAGCTACTTTGAGTAAGACCAAAGTGGATTACTGCCAGCTTACAACAACTTTTATCGCCAAACTTTCAAAAAAATAAAAACATTTTCTAAAGAAAACAATAAACTTTATTAGGCCTCAGATATGTTGGAGGTTTATGTTTAGAGACTCTTATTTTAAAAGGATGAAGGAAGTTGTATTACACTGTTGCAGAGGTAGCCAAAATTCCATCTTGCCTGGACCCTCCGTTACAACAACAACAAACAACAACAACTATAATAATAATAATAATAATAATAATTAACTTGTAATTTCCTGAAGAAATTTTAAAAGGGATCTGCTGGCTGGCAAAAGAGAGTGGCTCTGTGTTACAGCACCAAGTCATGATACTTGGGTGATGTAGGGGTGAACACTCCAAAATCATAACAGCACTCTTCCCACAGCTGAGCTGGTTGTTTTGATGTAACATTTGTGAGGGTGCACACTCCTAATCAAGAGATAATTTTCTCTGGTGAAGAGGAAGTGGAAGAAGAAGTAACTAGAAAATTCCTGAAGACATTTTTAAAAGGGTTCCTGCTGCTGGCACAAGACAGTGGCCAAGTGGTATAGAAGCCTAGAATCATAATATTGGGGTGATGTTTGGTTTATCACCCACATATCACAATACAACACTTCCCAGGGCCGAGTTGGTCGTTCTGATGTAACATGCATAGGGGTGAACGCTGCCGTTTGTACAAGTGTAATGATACTGGGGTTACCTTATCATTACATATAATTAATAAATACAGTAAGTAAATAATTGTTTGCATATTTAGTTATTATTTTGAAAAATGAGACATACACACACTGAAAATGATTTTTTTCAGTGTTTTTTGCTAATAGTTTCGCCATGGTTCATCAGACCGCTTGTAAAAGTAATTGGAAGAATAATAGTAAAGTAAGTACATTTTATTTATTTAGCATTCATCACAGACAGAGAATTACAACGTGCTTCACATAGATCAACAACAAAACAAATCATAAAGTCATAAAATCATAATGATCTTAAACGAAACGGAAATAAATACAAATAAAACAAACTCATAAAATTATAAAATATCATAAAACCAATAAAAAATGATTACAAATTTGAGTAAAAAAATAGGACAACAAAACATTTTGGTAAAAACAGCTTTAAATAAAAGGGTCTTCAGCTGTTTTTTAAAGGTAACCAGACTGTCAATACTACATAAGGTTAAAGGCAGTTCATTCCAAAGCCAGGGTGCAACAACCTGGAAGGAGCGATCCCCTTGACTTTTAAAGCTGGTCTTTGGAACTTC